CCCTACACCCAGCCTTCTTGTAATGTTTAAGGATCTCTTATTCTTGGTAAGAAACTTTCTTCATAAAGCTGTTTGCATGCTTTCTCCAATATCTACAAGGAAAATTGCCTTGCTGTTTGGGGTAGGAAACAAAGGAAAGACCAGGCTGTCTCTAAAACTCATTTCTGTGCCTTCCGTCATCACCATCATCACTCTAATACAGCTTTGGGTCACAAGCACAATGCTAGATGCTGCAGAAACTGAATAGAAAGACAAATATTTTTCATGCAATTGGATTCCACTCCATATGTAAGAATCTTATCTATTAACCTATCTTCCTTGTACCTAAATCCTCTTCTGTACAGGTATAACTACTAGCTAGAAGACAAAAGGTTCAATTAAGATGTATTGGGAAAACTAGGAGTTAAATTAAAGGAGGTCTTATCCTATACATGATGTAGCCAGAGGTAAGAATCCTCTTTCTTTATTAGCAAGGCAAACCAGGCCCTTTTTCACAGTAACAGAAAAAGAAAAAAAAAGGCAAAAGTTCAGGGAATTAAAGATCTAAATGCCAATTCTGTAGTGGGAAGCAAAAAGAAAGGACAAATACCAGGAATTCCATAAAGAAAAAAATAATAATCTATAAAATCTCCTCTTAGTTTTGCTAGTGATTTTTTCCTACTCATCTCCATTTTTTTCCAGCAGTTTTTCTTAGGTGCCACATTCAATAATCCTTCTGTACTTTGATGTCAAACATTCAATAGCTGTCTGCCTCCCTTCCACTCCTCTTCTCCATATTTTCCTCAATCCATCTCCTCTGATCAGCTACGATTTCACCTTCAAGAACACCTCTGCTTCTCCGAGTGAGCAAGAGTGTGTGCATGTGTGTTTATATAATATTTGCAAATATTCTCCCCCTCCTGCTCTGCATGCTACACAGCAACCCCTGCCAGAGCTCCGGATTAAGCATCAGTGCCATTCCATAATTCAATTTGAGGGGCCTGCTGTTTTGAATCCAGCTCAGGACATCATGAGAGCAGCTCGATTGAATTTAGGCCCTGCTTTTAGAATTATTTCATATTTAATCTGAGCTGAACTTCATTTCACTTGCTTTCTCCACTCTGATGCTTCCTGTGACAAAAGGCACAAATGTTCCCTGATCTCATGCAGTGGTGTGTGTGTGTCTGCCGATTTCTCTTTTATTTTGGTTTGTCACTGGATTAAACCACATCAGAATTACTTGTATCTCACAAGACCCTAAAGCAAGAGGGAGTTGGTACCTCAGCAAAAGGTTGTTCTGGCATCGCCTTCCCCCACTCACCGGATTGTTGTACATGTCGATGATGAGCTGTTTCACTCCGTGCAGTGTGGGATGAGCCCAAGGAGATGGATTTGCCCAGTGCCGGTTTAAATCGAACCCCATCAGGGAGCACCTGCACACACAAACACAAGAAACACACACACAGGACATGTATGGGCTGCAGCTTCCTCTGGGTTCAGCTGCAGAAGTAGGGCTACATTCTGCAGCTGATATATTTAAACATGTTATTCTCATGGGAAAAACAAAGCAAATGCTCCCTTGAGGAAAACCTGAAGCAATGGCCACTTTTAGAAATAACATGACCAGCAGAGTATAAACTGAAACACCTTTGGTCATTCAGCCCTCTCCCCCTCCACAACAGCTGTGCTCACTCTGTCCTTTGCCTTTCACCAGCTTGGCAGGCTGGCACTGGACCAGCCTGCCTGACCTTCGAGGTTCCCTTCCCTTCCATGCTCTGACTGAGGGTCTATAGCCATGTGAGTGATTCATACACTGCACCACCAGACCTTTAGTTTGCCCTCAGTGAGGCTTTGACTCAGCAAAGCTGTTAAAAGCATTGTAATCGATGGCCATTAAGTATGTGCTTAAGGGATTTAAAGCATGAATGTCATTGTTCCTTCCACTAACCCAGGGCCTCAGCCTCTTCCCCCCTTGCAATTGCCTACACAAAAGTTAGCCAACCAAGACACCAAGTTAAAATGCTTATTGCCCATCAAATCTTGTAGGCGTTGAAGCATGTATACCACCTTGGCTTCTCCTTCGTGCCCTGACTTATATCCCTCGCAGTACACTGTCTTGAATTTGATTCTGCCACTCCCAGTCCCACAGAGTAGCAACTCATTCTTTGTGAAGTCCCACTGAAACTCAATAGGCTGTTGTTAGAGTGAACACAGAAGAAATTAAAAAGCTAGAAGTGGCACAAACAGGAGGAGGGGGAAATCATGTCCCTTGCCTACTGCAGAGATCACCTAGACAACCTGTGGCCACTGATATATGCAGGAAGAGAAGTATCTCTGTCATCACAAGCTAAGCTTGGGATCAGTGGACCTTGGGTACATCTTGCTCAGGAATTCTGTGAAAGACCACACAAATAATGAAAGCCCAGGTAGAGATGCAACTTCCTCTATAGTTAGAACAAACAAACAAAAAAAAATCAACCTTACTCCTAAGCCTTAAATCTTTTTGAGAAAAGAAGAGCTTTCATTGATCCCAGGTCTATTACAAGAATGTCTGTTCAACCTTAATCTTTTAAACACACCTATGCAAACAAAAGAAATTTGCTCCAGTAGTGCTGTTCTTTGACAAAAAATTCTAAGAATCTGATGGCTGAAAAACATGAGTTTAATTGGCAAAAAGAAAGGAAAATAAAAACTAAAACAGAGAGGTGAAATGCTAAGAAAAGTGAGGGGATGAAACCAGAGGATGAAATTTATTTCCAGAACTGATGAATAAATATTTTCCTATGAACCTAAAGATAAAAAGTTAATGGGACATTCTTTTGTAAAAATTCTTATAGGACTCTAAGCAAGCAGCAGGTGCCATGCTCCTTGGGCTTAGACGACCCAACCATCAGGTTGTCCCAGAGTTCCGACATCCAACTGTCAGTTCTGCAACTCCATCCCTGCTGAGTTGGATGGCTTGCTGTGATGGAGGATGTCACCTCCTTGCCTTGGTAGTCACTTCTCTGCTTTCATAGAAAACAGATGGATTTTTTTTCTGAACTTTCCAACAGCTACAACTCCACAGACAACTCTGAAAATTGTCTCCATCCTACTATAAAGCAAACCATATTGTATGAATTTTTTTTTTCTCTCTCTCTTCTTTTTGTCTTCATGCAAACTCTCTCCACTCAGTTCTACTAAATCCTATATTCTTTTGAACTCATAGACATTAATAAAAAATCAGAAGTACTTCCAGAGACGTAGGTGGAATTACACTGGGATAAAACTGGTATAAGAGCAGAATGAGAGGACTGCGTTTTTCATTTAACAAAGGCAGAAACTGTCATGAGTCTTACTGCATTTTGGCACAGTTCCCAAAAAAACAACATTCTTACTGTACAAAGAGAAAGTTTCTTAAGAGCTCAGAATCTGAAATTATATCCCTTTATATGACTGATGTGTCACATTTACATTTTCTTTTAATAATATTTAAAACTAATAACACTACAGAAAACAAGTATATTTTGAATCCATTATGTTCTTCTCCAAAACACATCAAAGTGGTTAAATGACAGAGTGCCAAAAGCAAATTTTTAATTCAAACATGGATTGTCAGTATTAAATTTGGGGTTTGGGACTTTTTAGATAACTTTATCTAAGTCAGCCCTATAGGGAATAGAAGTAAGCAATACCTCATTTTTGTGAGATCCTAAGTAAGGCATTGTGATTTGCAGTATTTGAATGTGTCATGAATGCCTGGCAAGTGATGAATCTTACAGTTTATTTAAAGCAGCAAGAATAGTTGAAAATAGTTGTCTTTACTTGAGAAGACTTTATAAACAGAAGGAAGCAATGCTTAACAAACAACATATTCATTTGGGAAGCTCCTCTGAGCTCTGTTTAATAAGAATCCAAATTAATTTCCAAATATCATTTAGCTAGTCTTTGATGTAGTATATCACATATTTATCAATGTAACAACAATTAATTAAGTTTCTGATGTAGGCATTACTATTTTCTCTCCAGTCTGGAAACTGTAACACCACCCCCACCCCCCCCAGTTTGTAAGTCTTTTTTCTTTCCTTTTTGCCTAAAGACAAATTTGTATCTACCACACTCTCTCTTTATTCATCTGCTGCAAAGTTGTGGTCTCTCTAAGGAAACATCAAGTTGTGTTCCTTGGTACTTCAGATTTGATTATTGACTCTATTACATGTAGAACTGTTTCCCAAAGCTCACATATATCAGGACATGACCAAAACATACGGTAAGAGTCTCCCACATGCCTATTACAGGTCCTGCATTCATTATATTCTCTTGCTCCCAGTTGATGTGATCTCCCTTGTGGCTAATACTTCCAACGCAAGAGCCTGAACAGGATAACTGAAAAATTGCATCTTGTACTGTTTTTTAATTCCTCCTCCCAATATTAAACCAGCTCATTTTTAGCTGGTTCCACTGCTTAACTGTTTGCTTGCTGCTTTAAGCACTGGGTAGGCAAAGTAGAAATATAGATATGCTCTGGAAACAACAGCTCTATGATAGGAAACAACTGTGTTCTGATATAATATGTAATCCTTCAATATTTGAGACCAGCTCTCTTATTCAGACTGCAAGTGTTGCCATTGGCTTCAATGCAGTTCCTTACATGGCTATAAGTGTTCCACAAATTTAGAAAGTGCCTCTGAATCTGCCCCTTATAGATTAGATTTGTTTTGTGCTGTAAATAAATTAATATGTTCAGTACAAAATTAACAAGATAAAAAAACCCTAAATTATATCAAATGACGGTTTAAGGATGATCTTAGAAAGGGGACATGGAAGACAGCAAATCAGGAGATCTTACACACTCCAAGAGGTGCAAGGGAAAACAAAAGCAGCTTCAAAATTAGTGAGGGTTGGAGGGGGTAAAGCTTTCCAGAGCAAGGGCACTGGAGAACATCCCATTCCATGAGGCTTAAAGACCATGCACATGAATGGTCTTTTAAATGTGACAGGTCACATTGCCATGGAGCCAGATAAGAATGTTGTGCTGGCACAGACTCTCACAGGTTAGAAAATAGCATGGTCAGAAGTAGGTGAGCTTTCTATAACAACCAAAGTAGCAACCTGCTGTCATTACCTGCTGTGTACTTCATTCCTACTGTAAAAACCTGGGTTGTGCATATCATTGCTACTGCAAAAAATGACATGTATGCAATTTGAAACCTTTAAGCTGATAACAATTGTTTGAATTTTGGATTATGCTTAGAGTTTGCTAGATATACAGACCACATACTATGCTTGTGCTTTATGACTGAATGTATATTTTAATCAGGTTCTGTGAATATACTTGTTGAATGAGAATTTGTTTCACAAATGTTTTGCAGCCTTTTTCTAAAATTTCTGTTTTCTAGAAGTGGATAAATTTATTACAGTGTTTATAAATTTACATAAACACAGTGTAAATTCAGTCAAAGCAAATGAGTTTCAAAATTGCAATGGAAACTGAAACATTTTGCAGTATTCATCCCTCCCTACTTGGGAGGCAGCCAGATCTCAAGAGGTTACCAGCTCAACTCAGTAAAACCAAAGATGTTCAGACCATCATCCAGCTTGCTGGGCAGTTATCTGGACAGAACCCCCTTGCCTCTAGGGGTTTAGCTCATCACTGGCTTTAAGGACATCGTATGCAGCTGCTTTATTGAAAACATCCTTGTCCCTTTCTGAGGGACAAGCACTGAGGAAGGTTTAGTACCAAGGCCTATGCTGGGTTTATTTTTTAGGGCTGCTTCCTATTCTTACAGGTTGTGCCTCTTCTTTCTGGAATCTCCCAAGTTATATAAACCTCCAGGAACTCTGCCTTCCTTTCACTTCATTTGTCCCTCCCCTGCTCATTTTTCCTACCATGTGAGTCTAAGTCTCTTACTAACAGACCCATTTCCACAAGGTGAGATATGGAGAATAATGGAGGAAAGGAGGTAAAGAAATCCTTTTTCACGGCATGTGATTTATTACAAAGAGAACTCTACACCCTTCCCTTCAGCTTTGTAAGGTTGCGTTGGTTCATTGGATCAGTACCAGGTGAATCTCCAGATAATGCCGTGCACAAAGCCAGGGAGTTCCAATCCACAAATGGTACTACCAACAGGGTTAGGATTTGAAATTGAAAAGGTAGCAGGGAGGGGGAGCACTCACTTTTTTTCCCCCTTTCAGGCTCATTGCAATAAGAGCAGAGACAGAGGGTAATTGGTCTCTATTGTTGCACTTCTTCGAAGCAAGAGTTATAGCAGGAAACTGCCACGAGACTGCAGCCTGCAAGAGCACGTAGGAAGAACAGGTGTGCGGCGTGAGAGAGTAAAGACAAGGGCAACACGCAGAAGACTTGCTTCTTTTAATAAATATCATTTTAAACCTGATATATTCACACCGTTTTACAAATCAACTCTACACCTGCTGTCGAAGTCAGAGT